CTGACAGACCCGGAGGCGGGAACATCGAGGCAGACTTGTCAAAGGAAGTGGTGTGACTAAGAGGCCAATAGACTTGAATATACGCTGTGTAAGCAGGCAGTCAAGACGTGGCCGGGAGAGAGCGCGGAGACTCAATCTTCGCTGGGAACATAAAGGTTAAAAATTACTATCTCTCAACCCTGCACTCATGCACCTTCAATTACCCAGCAGTGCCACATTATGGCCAAACAAAATGACTACCATTAGCCATAATCACCTTACATGCAGCCTAATGCTATGCTGAACTAGACTGGGAAAAATAATTGCCCCTCAGTAATGCTGTGGAAAAACTACTTCCAATACGAGCAGGGCTGTGGATAAAAATGATGTCCTCCCTGCACAGGTGGTAACGCCGGGTCCATCTTCCTGCTTCCTCCGTCGTAAAGCGTTTCAATTGCAGCGCCGTCTGCAAAATACCCACCGAAAGACGCGTTTAAAAAAAGCAAAATGTCACATCAGTGGGGTCTGCTGGCTGGGACTTAATCTTTTACTTCACTAGAATGGCTGCAAAAGTCGTATTCTCGCCTTTTTATGATGATTGTCTGCTCGACTTCCTTTTACCGCTTCTCCTGCATGTCAGTGCTTCCATTGGTTATACGTCTTTTGCATCATTTCAACCACAGAAAACTTTTAGGGCTGCATTTCTGCTCCCCCCCAAAACAAGACTTCCTGCCCTGGAAAGCCGTCCACCAACTAGCGAGATGGTTTGAGCAGAATATTCAAGCAACACACGAGGAGAGTGGGCGGTTAAATGATAGAAACCTAAGGATGTGTCCTTTGCAACGCTCGTGCAAACATTAGAAAAATCACAGCTGCACAAGCTTCTCCAGGAAATCGAGGAAAGTCTCACCAACAAATTGGTAATCCTTTAATTGTAGGAGTAGGAATGCAAAAGGCCAAACTTCACTTACTGATACAGTGTTTTTCATTGTTGTTCTTAAACTCCGGTGTGTTTCGTGTGACTTGCAACCGCGTGTGCCTAATTAACCGCGACCAAAAAAAAAAAAAAAGCTCCTGATCCGTGGAAAAGCATAACTCGTGCGTCGACGGCGGTGAGGGACTGTCCTTGGCGGGGCACAAAAGGCTGACGCTTGCTTTGTGAACTGACAGAGAACAGTGTTGTGTAACCTTTTAACATACATCAGTGTCGGGGAAATTGATTTTTTTTTTTTTTAGAGGAAAACGTGTTTGCACATGAAATGCACGCCACGCCGCGGTGGCTTTCCACTGATCCCCAGGATTTACGCCGCGTCAGTGTTAACGCTGCGCCGGGCGTACGGGCATATGGATGGTGTGTGTGCACTTCCTCGCAACTTTTTCTCTGATGTGTCCTTGTCTCTTGATATTTGTAGATTTGTACATTATGCATATAAGTGTTTCTTTCTGTGCAAGAGTGTGTGTGTATATATATATGAGACACAATTTCCATAGGCAGGAAAACACCTGAGCTCAGGAGAAAGCAGCTGGTTCAAATAGAAAACGCACATCCGCGCACACGACGCACAAACAAGCAGCTAAAACCAGCACCGCCTTGCATACTGGATTTAGCCGAGCTCCTTCTCCCTCTCTTTGATCCTTCAATCTGTACGTCTCTTTTACTGTCATCTTAATAACTTCCTCGTCTCTCTCTCAGCCCTCCGAGCCACTGAAAAACGATCCTCACCGGCACCATTCAGGCGCCTGGTACCATTATCCATTTTCCACAGGCCTGAAAGGTATTGGAACGTGTCTAAACGTTGGATTCGTGCGTTTTAAAGAAAATGAAATGATTTCCGTCCGTTTATTAAGTGATGAAGCTCAGCTTCTTTTGGATGCCGCCTCAGATTTAAAAAAAAAGAGCAATCTAATGGACTCGGTAGGAATCAAAGTGTTAACTGTTAATGTGTAGAGATCAATGAGGCTTTTTCTTTTCTAAATATTTCTGATTTTCTTAACGTATTAGCGTTTCTGTTGGTTTTAATTGAAAGGAAACGTGAAGACAGACTACCGGGTCGCTCTCTGTAGCGTTTTAACTGCATTCTGGTGACGATTTCTGCCCTCCATTAGTTTGTTTTTCACATGAATCCCGATCACGCTGTGATTTTTTATTTTTTTTCCTCCTCCCTACCTGTATAAATGTTTCCACCAGCCCGTGGGACTCCCATTTGTTTTCCTGTCTTGAGGCAAAACAGAAGCTGTTTTGTTTATTCTCTAAATCTACTGGCATTTTCATCGAGGAAATGTGGCCTCTGTTTAATTGGTGAGCTAGCTGAGGCATTATGGTGTCAAAATAGCAATAATTAAACCAATGCAGTTATTGAAATGAACCCACACTGAGCTTTAAAAGTCAGAATAAAGAAGGTCTGACCACTAGAACCAGAACCTCTTGTGTTATTTCATATGCAGACGTCTTTTTTTTTTTTTGCAGGATAAATCACGTCAGATTAAACTAAAGAGCAAAAGAACAACCACAAATATTTAAAGAAACGGCTTCAATTTTCTTCTTTTTTTTTTTTAATCTCCACATTTTATTTTTTCTTTGCTCTTAGATAATAATGATGATGATGATGAAGATGATGATGATGATGATGATGATGATGATGATGATGATGATGAAGGACGAGGGGAAAATGCTTGGTGGTCAATTTGTGGAGCCGCTAATTTACTGCTTCAATCAATGACATAATTGCACAGCTCAGCATAACCAGCCATCACTGCTGCAAAACGAGGGATGGATGGATGGATGGACAGATGGATGGATGGATGGATGGACGGATGGATAGATGGACGGACGGACGGACGGACGGACGGACGGACGGACGGACGGATGGATGGATGGATGAAATCAGAACTAAACTAGAAAAGAAGAAACTGAAAGAAGGATGGGAGTGGATGAGCGAATTAACAGCCAGGAAGAAAATATCAAAGGGGTGATGGACGGATTGGCGGATGAGCGCATGGGCAAGCGATGGAGGAATGAATGAACGAGCACAATAGATGAAAGGCTGGATAAAGTCGGGGCGAGCTGAATGAGTTAAGAGCTGAAGATGAAGGTGAAGGGATTGTGGGGCAACAGATGAAAAGAAAATAGATAAAAAGATAAAAAAAATAGGATGAAATGAAATGGGACGAGTTGATAAAAGAACTGAAAAGCAAGTGAACGGAGAAATGACTTAAAAAAAGAAGGCATTAGTGGGTGGATTGAAAGATCGAGGCACGACGTGAGAAAGCGTCGACGGCAGGATGGACGGTCGACGGCAAAACGCACAGCTCCTCTAACTGTGAACTGAATTTGCTCCACGACTTTATTTCAATGCATTTTCCTGCGAGCAGCAGCTTTGTCTTGGCGGTAAAAGTTTCGCCTTACATCTCTCGCTCCTCTGTCTAATTGTAGTGAGAACAGATGGCTGCATAAAAACGCTAACGTCATTCGGCGAAGATGTATGACAGGGAACGTGTGCCACCCAACGAATCGCTCAAGCAGCTTTTTTGCATTCTGCCTCATCATGCCTTGATGTGCATCGGCGAGCGGCTCAGGAAGCTGCGTAGCTCGGCCGTGTGCGGCGCTTAAGTCGTGCAAATTAGCTGAAATATGCGCCGTCGGAAGCCTTGTGTGTGTTTTTTCCTCAATCTCTCTTTATCTTTCGGGCCACTTTGTCCACTTTGCTTTGGTCCGTGTGTGTGTGTTGTTTTAAGAGCAGATAAGAGCTCAGGCTCAGCGGGTATAATAGTGATTCAGCTGCTTAACAACAGTGTTTTTGGAGGGAAGATACACTTTGCTTTCTTCTACCTGGAGACGAGAAGAGAGGAAAGGGAAGGAAAGGAAAGGAATGTGGAGGAAAGGAAAGGAAAGGAAAGGAATATGGAAGAGAGGAGAGGAGAGGAGGAGAGGAATGAGAAAAAAGGAAAGGAAAGGAATGAGAAAAAAGGAAAGGAAAGGAATATGGAAGACAGGAGAGGAAAGGAGAGGAGAGGAGAGGAGAGGAGAGGAGGAGAGGAATGAGAAAAAAGAAAAGGAAAGGGAAGGAAAGGAAAGGAAAGGAAAGGAAAGGAAAGGAAAGTGAAAAAAGCAGAGGAAAGGAAAAGAGAGGAGAGGGGATAAGACAAAAGGAAGGGAAGGAAAGGAAAGGAGAGGAAAGGAAAGGAAAAGGAAAAAAGCAGAGGAAAGGAAAAGAGAGGAGAGGAGATGAAAGGAAAGGAAAGGAGAGGAGAGGATTTGAGAGGAGAGGAGGGTGTAGAGAAGAAGCGAGACTATCTGATGATGGGAAAAGAAGATAATCCTGAGTGCAGGTTTTATCCAGAAGCCAGAAGAAGAAGAAGTAGGAGACATAGAAGAGGAACAAGAGGAAGGACAACAAGTGCAGTTCTGTCTTTGTGGGCCTGCTGGCATTCATAATTGATGCAAAAAAAAAAAAAATAGCACAGGTGAGATGTAAAGGAGAAGAAACTGAAAAAAAAATGTAGAAGAAGTGATTTTCTTCAGGGAAAGATGCTTCAGAAGGAGTAAAAAAAAAAAAAAAAAAGGAGGAGATAAAGAGAGTGGTGTGAGGACGACAAGCCCTCAGCTGGCTGATGACTATCATCACTTAAAATGGATCGCGTCCGATAAAAGCAGAGCGCCACACAAATGTCACCGAGGTACGTAGACTTCTACATCTGTGTTAAGTGGTGCAGACCAGACTTTGGCAGTGTCCGAATCAACCTCCTTGGCAACGAATTGGTCGATCTGGCCCACGGGAGGGAAGAAGAGGAAATGAAGAGAAAGAAGGAAGTGGAAAATGGCTTTGACATTTGACGCGTAAACTGCGCGTCTTTTTGCTAGCGTCCACGTACGTCATCGCACTCACAAACACGCAGGTAGAGATACGTGTTAGACCGCCATTAACCCCGATTATTACAGCTTGGTCAAGTGAGAGCCGAGAGAAACAAACAAACAAACAAACAAACAAAGGCGTGATGGAATTAAAGCTTGTTTTTCTCACCTATAGAAGTTGTGGCTGGAACCGGCTCTTTGGACACTGGATCCAACGCGGCACACAGGAAGGAAACAAAAGCTCAGTGAATTCACACAAACTTCTTTTTTTTTTACAACAACCTGTCCTCACGCTGCTGCAGAAGCCACAGTAAATCCAAACTGCTGCTGACAAACACAAGCAGGAATTAGAAATGGAGAGAAAAGAAAGAACCTGCGGGCACGTTTTGAAGGCTGCTTTCCAGCCGAGCTGAGAGCCGAGGACCATTAACATGTTCTCCATGTAATAACCCACGAAATTACTGCGAGCAACTACTATTAATAGTAACTAGAGTATGAGTAAATGGAGCCACAGCGTGCCGTCTTTAACCCTCCAATTAAAGGGAAGCAGCACAAGAAGCACAGAGAACTCTTCTGTTCATTATAATAAAGTTACAATGTCGTGAAAATAGAAATATTTACAATTTTAATTCCTTTCTTTCAATTTGTTCACATACTCGACTCCTATTGGTTGTAAACATGGCCTGCAGTTCAACCAAAAAAATCACTCAGGTTTTGTGACGTGACTGTTGGTGGCAGCTGAGTTACTCATTTAAAGTTGGGCAGGAGGTTAAAGATTTGTTTTTATTTTACAGAATCTTGATACGAGATGAGCAAAATACCGTAAATTCCAGACTATGAGCCGCTACTTTGAACACTGTGGCTTAAACGACGATGCGGCTAATTTATGGATTTTTACGAATTCGCCTCGAGACGAAAGCGACATCGAGAGCGACAACGACAGAGAGGTTGAGGAAGTGTGTGACGAAGTGATTCTGTTCAGTTCCAACACTGAAGACTTTAGTGGTTTTAGTGCGCAGGAGGAAGATGAAGATAGCGATCAATGACTTTTCCTGGTAGGCAAAAAAGCATTTATGTATTTGCGTATGTTAGCGGTACGTATTTAATTTAAAGTCTACAAAATCTTTCTGTGTAATTATCTCATGTTACCAACGTGGACACCTGCGGCTTTTAAATGTACAAAACTAGTTTTCTTTTTAAAGTTAGCGGGTGCGGCTTATATTCAGGTGCGCTCATAGTCTGGAATTTACGGTAAAAGCAATTTGGACGAAATATCTCGATTTTAAGCGTAGATTCTGGACTTATATATGTTTTTTTTTAAGGATTTGTCAGATTCTGTCTGTTTTCACAGGTTCTGGCTCTGATAAATATTGTAATTTTGATGTTTTTTTCAAAAAAAAAAAAAAAAAAGATGATGCACCTTTCACACCTGCCACGGAGGTTCAGAGGGTTAATACTTCCATCCTGCTGAGCTAAACGCTAAGGAGCATTTTCTTCGTGCAATAACCCGCAATGTTCTCGCGAATACCTACACTGAGAGCAACGGCACGCTTTCTCTAAGTACTAATGTGTTTAAAATGCTACCTGACAAACAACTTAAGCTAGCAATTTGGAACAAAAATACATTTTCCCACTTTCCCACTTGCAGTTACGTCTGAAGGCCGTCATTACTTTAGAGCCTCCAGGTGCCTTGATTGTCACTCTGTGCGAAAGGGGTCAGATTGTGTGATTAATGTGCGGCTAACAATGCAAAGAGCAAAAAAAACATACATAAGACATCATCCACAATCTTGCACTGATGACCACAACGTTTCTCTCACGACAGTAAACTTTCCCCCCACTTGCAAAAAAAAAGAAGAAGAAAAGCGGCCTTGAAGCAAACTTCAAAGCTTCGGCGTGTGCATGTGTGTTTAAAGTGTATACCTGAGTAGTAGGAATTCAGCAGGGATTTGCTCTGCAGCGTCTTGCTTCCTTGCACAGAGAAGGAGCAGGGGGAGGGCGAGGCTGTGGAGGAGACAGGAGGGAGGGGAGGTGAAGAGAAGGTGAATGAGAGGATGAGAAAACAACCACACCAAAAAAAAAATAGAGGGGAGAGGAGGTGAAAAAGGAGACGAAGGTTAGGGTGGATGGAGAGAGAAACAAGAGAGGAAATTTGGGGAATAGTGGTAAAAAAAAAACAATAAAATGAGGATTTGAAATGTAAAACGAAGGGGTGGAGAACAAAAAAAAATATTTAAAGATGGTTAGTTTTGTGACCCCAACAATCCATCATTACAGGACACAATTAACAATGAAAGCATACACAATGGGAGATCGATGCTCCATATTCAACAGCACGAGCTGCGATCCAATAACACTAATGGCACCATCGATGCTCCCCGATATTGAATTTTTGCAAAAACATAAAAGCGGTTCTGTCCCAATGAGCATGCACTTTAATCTGACATGCTCTCAATGCCGGTCAATACGTACAACGGATTTTACGGCTCGCATGAAGAATGGAGGTGGAGGCTAAATTGAACGGACCAACGGCGAGAAACGTAAAGAAAACGGCAAAAAAACGGAGTGAAATTAAAGCATTTTCCTGCGGCCGTGTGATACTCACACGCCGGTTTCGATTCAGGAATAATAGCGGTTTTGTTTGCTAACTCGGCTAGCCTGGCCGTCTAAAGGTGGAGTATTTAGCTACGTACGCTCTGCTAGCGGTCCCATTCTGTGTTCTGTGAATAGGAAAAAGGACAAGGATGATCCACAAAAGCTATGTTCCTTGCATGTTTGTGCACAGGACAGCAGAACAAACAGGAGTGGAAATGTTGGAGGAAAAAAAAATGGCACAATCTAAATGTGCTGACTTGGCAAATGTCTACAGTGACCTTTAACCCTCCCGAAAAAAGACCTTAAATTCAATTCAAACTGCTTAAAAAGATCTGATTTGCTTTCAAAAGAACGTACAAAGATGGAATTTTGTTCCGTTTGTAAGTGGGAACAAGGGAACTGCATATAATCCTGCTCCTTTACTGCTGAATCGTTCAGCTAACCCTACAGCTTCTTCTGCTAACTCTAAATCGCTAACTGCTAACTGTTCTGCTGCTGGCTGCAAGAGTGAACACAAGAGTCCTCATGCACTCCCAGCATCTGAGGAACTAAACCCCCAGTGGATTACTTTCATTTTTGGATGTTAGCACGACAACACAAAAATTTGAGAATTGCACGGCTAATGTGGCTAACGTTAGCTGAGGGACATTTTTTATGTTGCCTTTAGTGCTTCTAGTGCAACCTAAACTAGCTTCCTTCCTGCCCTCTGTGTTCACATATGCTGCATTTAAATACCGCCGACTTCCCAATAAAAGCTGTTGTTGTTTACGTTTTTTTAAAAATAATTTCTCCAAAGCTGTGTTGTGAATTCAGCAATATTTCCATGTAAGGTGATCGCTCAGGGAGAAAGTTAGAAATGATTGACAGACAGTCAAAAAAAAGCCATTAGCTATTTATAAAATCCACCGCATGTATTTATCAAACCATCCATTAAGCCGTCGCGGCCCGCGGATGGAGTCACTGTCACTTCAACAGAGGTCACTCACGTCAGGACAGAAACCTTTCATCACATGCTAGAAAATGATCAATGGCAATAATTCTGTATTGATTTACGGTGATTTTCCACTCAAAAAAGGACCTAAAGCATTTCCACTTGTGATGTTATTTAATCATGACTCCACATCGGCCGTCATCCATCCGTCCATATGTAGGTAATTTATCCGTCACTCTGTCAGTCGGTTGGCCCGGCACTTAGCGAGCACTTACCGATTACAAACGCAGCTAAAGATTGACGGCTTTGGCCATATGTTTTAAAAAAAAGAGACCTTTTTGCAATCATGGAGATGAATGACGGTGGAAGAAATGTTTATCATTTGAGAGATCCTGCAAAATAAAACAGCGCTTTTTGGTTCAACTTCCTCTCGAACGTGATCAGATCACCGGCTCAAACTGGCCACCGTGCGAATAGGGTCAAAATTGCAAAAAAAATAAATAAATAAAAGTTAAGCAGATACGCCATTGCTTAGAGATGCGACTCGCCGAGAGCGCTTGCTTTCCTAAACAGTGACTAATGGCTACGACGTCCTTGCAGATACGCTCTATCTCTCACAGAGGCTGCGAGAGGCCTATAAATAAATGATATGTAGGATAGACACAGGCGCACGCACACACAATAAGATAAAACCTAGAGGGACTGCTGGCAGACTGACTGTGACATATTATATGCTAGCTAAGCCTGTTCAATAATCCACAGCAGATATCAGAGGCGGCCTACACACATTTATCTGGAGGAGGACCTGCGGCTGGATGGTGCGTCCGCGTACCTCCAGCTGATTGTCATTTACGCTACGGGCCTTCGGCAGCCACTTGCTAATCATGCACGTTAGCATATATAGTAGTTTTACATGCATGAGGGTTAACAAAGGCTTCCACTACACAAGTCTGCTCTCCCCCTCATTTCATACCGACTGAGCAGATATCAGGAATATGCCTCCGCTCTTCTGCCACTTTTGCAAATACATTCAGGTATACGCCGGGTTATTTAGCGTCTCTGAATTCACTTTTGGTTCTCTGCTCCTGCGCTGTTTCGCATCGGTGGTAAAAGTTGGACAAAACCTACGATTTTCCTCTTTAGCTCGCCGGCTTTAACCCTCACGTTTCCTGCCATAAAACAACCTGAAAAGATTCCCAGCGACTGAGTTTTTAAAAATAAATGTCAGCGGGCTGACACCGACCTCATCCGGCGTTTGTAATTTTGCTCGTGTCTTTAAAAAAAAAAAAAAAATGAATATGATGATAGTTTCCTGATGTGAAAATTATCCGTGTTGCACCCCTCCTTCGCCTCATTCTTATTCATATTCTGTTTGCTGTACTGTTTTCTGGTACAATGGCCCAATTTCCCTACCGCGGATGATTTAAGTTTTATCTTCTCCTCTCTCCATTGTCCTCTCTTCCCTCCGCCTCCCCTCTCATCTCTCCCCTCTGCTCGTCCTCCTCCCCTCTCCTAATACCCCCAAACACAACATATTTTCTCCTCTTCTGTGATAAAATCCCTCTCGTCTCATGCGTACCGGCGCTGTATGCTAATGCGCCGCAAAAAAGGAAGGCTCAACTTTAATACAGCGAGGGGTGTACCTGCATACCAAAAAGAAATCTGCTTTGACAGCAATGTCCTGTGAAGATAGCTGGTGACGGGGTGAGAATGCAATAACACAAAAAGGTTATTTGCCCTGCGAGGGTCCGTTCGCACAAATATTATTGGGTCCCCTGCCTTGTGTCAGCATTTTTCCTGTGTCTCATTAGGACCGAGCCTGGATGGGGGGACTGCGGCTCGGTGCATGTGTGTGTTTGCTTTGTCTCTTTTTTCAAATGCACATGTTATAACACAGCTCCGAAGACACAAATCCTCACCCTCGGAGCCGGACGGATGCTCTCTGCATTGTAGCGAGCAGCGAGGTGCAGCACGTTTTGGAATAAAAACCGTGCAGCCTGACCTTTCCGACGACGCTGGTTGCTTGTCTGCGCGGCGGCGTGTTGGTGATGAAGAATAATAGTGAATTTACATCACGTTTAATCATAGTTACAGCCTGCGTACAGCTCCGTGTCCATCGCCACACACATTCCTCTGGTTGGGATTACTCATGAGCCCGTCACAGATATGTTCACGTCATCATGCCATGTTCGTATGAAGAACAGGATAAATGCAGCTTTGGAAATATGGTAATTCCACATGTGTACATACCAAAGTAATGTAGTAACAGATGAACTTCTGCTAAAGTAATATCTTGTTGGCTGTTTGCACCCGACAGTTTCTACATTCATAATGTGGCCCTGCTGCACACCAAACAGCAGAATTGTGTTCCAAAGCACATGATGATGGATTTGATTTGCAGTGCAGTTACTTAAAAGTTGTGGTCATGAGAGACGTCTCCTGTGCACAAGGAGGCCGAGGTGGTCCCAGACACAGACTGTATAAAAGATGGACGTAGCAACTGAAAAATGAAGCCAACCTGGAAGTGTCAAAAACCTGCAATATCACTACGTCCACTAGCTGCTGGCTCCACAAAGCCCTGGCTCCCATAGACTGGAACTGGAAAAGAAGTGATCACAGATCACCAAATACTGCATTCCTACAACTCAGGATTGTTTTCTTATTAGTTTTCATGGTCAGATCCAGAGATCAGGTGGCCAATCTGAAAATAAATCAAGACTGAATTTTTAAAAAGTCGTCAACATGTTGCGGGGCAAGGGGCGTGGCTGGCTTGATTGACAGTCGGCAGCGACGATGCAGACGAAGCGAGCAGAAGGCGGTAAATGTGGGCGGGGCAGAGAGGGCCCGCCTCTCAATCCATCTGACCAATCGCTGCTCCTATGGCTCCGCCCCCCTCTGACGGTTTTTGCGTCACTGGCTCCAAAAATCCAAGATGTCAACCAGGAAGTAGAAAAACCCTGGCTTCATTTTCTCAGTGCAGAAACCAACACGGTAGCTACGTCCATCTTTTGTACAGTCTGTGGTCCCAGACTCTGGGGGTCTCTGAGGTAAGGCTGCCATCGGGAGACTCCTTGTTTTGGGGCTGGACTGTTGCAAACATTTACCCAAATTCATAGAAGTCATACAGCATTCTAGCACCGCCACATCTCCTCTATTATTATGAAAAGATGTCTCGTCTGCCGGCATTTCATGGTGAGACACATATAAAAGCACAGCCAGCTGCATAATGCAAAAACATTTCTTCTTTCCCTGACATAAAGGCTAAAGTCATATCAAATGATGGAAGATTTGGTTTAGCCTCGAGTGTTGACTATTGACTGCTGACAGCATGTACGTCTAGTTGTCATAATGACCCAGATGAGAGCTTTGAATTATCCTTAGAGTACCACAGGGCTCGCAGTTTCAGCCAGATGAAAGGCATCGCGGGTGACACAGCAAAAGAGACTGAATTGAAATTTGTTTTTTTTTTGTCTCTGGATATCATGGAGCGTTAGTAGCCTTTGGAAAGTTTTGTCATGTTTCTACTGTCTATCCAAGGGCAACTAGAAAAGAAGGAAAAGTCTGGCGCTTTCTCCCAGACTTCACTTCACATATGCCCCAAATCTAGGTAAAGAAAACCAATTTGAATGCTAAAACTACATTTGGCCCCCAGGCAAGGTCTAGTTTATTCTACCTAGAAGCAAAAAAAAAACAATCCATAACTTATTAAATAAACATTATGTTATCATATATCCAATTCCCATCTTATAAATACTCCAAACGCTTCCACACACACTCCTATTAATAGATTAACAGACTCTTGTTGGGTAAGAAATACGTCCGACACGACAAGTCAATCAAACTGTGAAGGTCGGGAAAGAAAGTTAGCTCCCATCCGCTCGCCGCAAAACAAACGAAAGCCGATAACTCTCTCCCAGTTTGGAGCGGCTACAGGTGGGTGAGGTCCAGATAGAAGTGCTCTGCTCTAAGTGTTTCCAGTGCAAAAACATTATTGCACGTCAGAACTGCAGCGTGGACAGTTAGAGGAAGAGTGCAGGCAATTACGGCCGGCATTAGCTCGCTACTTAGTCCCTCTCCAGCACCCCTGGCTTTCAGCGGCCAAGCGCTCACAAAAGGCCAGCTTGACATTTTCAAGAGAAAAATGCCCTCCTGAGAGGTCCCGTCTAATTACGCCGAGACACTCACACACTTGCATGTAATTCCGCGAGGAGATGGGGGAACGCGCGCACCCACAAACGCAGGCCGGCTAACTTTCGTCAGCCGAGGATATGGCCGGCGACAAATACTGTGTGGTGTGATGAAGAAAATGATTAGAGCAGCACTAAATAAGAGGGGAGTCAGTGAAGCAGCACAGCACACTGCTGTTATTGGTGAAAGACGACCATATGGAGGGTTTTATTATAAAATAAGATGTCCACTATTTGAATAAATGATGTGACAAAATGATTAATGACACAGGGACCTGGTGTATCTTTGGAGTGGAGACAAGGGCAGAACAAAACTTTACAAACAAAACTTAACTCAGCAAAATAAAAAAAACGGGTGAATTATTTCCGTCTATATTGCTCTTCTTTTTTTTTTTTTCTTTTAATTATTGCACTCCCACAGCACAATAATCTTCCGCAGATGTATCCGTGGTTATATATAGCGTTTGTTTTGAACGGTATATTCTCCGGTGTGCCTCCACGATGGCTGCAGCTATAGCAGGTGTATATTAAGGTTCAAGGCAGAGGGAGGGTGTGGACTTACTGAACCCGTTGAGGTCCTGGTTGGAGGTGGAGAAGGGGTCGTCCTTGTGCAGGGTGCTGACTTTGGTGGTGCTCTTGTCGGCCGTGGTGACCGGACCCATCTCCCTCTGCTGAGTGGAGCTGCTGGCGGTTTCCTTCTGCTTCTTCGCCAGCTTCCTGCAGAAGGTATGATCAGACATTAGGACGTGCATGCAGAGGGGAAGTAAAACCCACATGCAGTGAACCCAAGATACGAAAGAACAGATCACAGAACCAGCGGCACCGTCTGGGAGATGATTTATGGTGAAAACATGCAGAAAACAGAACAAAGTAAATAGATGAATAATTAAAACAGGTTTAGCCGTTTATTGTTTTAACAATCTGTAAGTGCAAGTGTTGTAATGTAGATTTATGGGAATTATTAGACACCAGTTCATATTTATAGGGCTGTTTTAAAGTCGTTCCGGGTTGTCGTTTTGTCATCATAAAACACATGTTTGAGTCTATAAGAGGAAGAAAAAGCTACGCTGGCTAACCGAAATATCGTTAGCACGTCCAGGCGTCCTACAGTTCTAGCCTTGAAAAAAACAAAAGGAGGCTTGAATTTTAGTTTTGGAACTCCTCCTTTAATCCATTCACCTCAAACTGACTGTAAGCACGCTTACTTCTGCTGTAAAGTCGAGCATTTTAACAGGACGGTCTCGCATGTGGAGCCTCAAGTGGCCATTCAAGGAACTGCAGCTTTTTAAAAAAATCTTAATTTTACACGAGCTGGTGTCATGCGTGTGCTGCACCACATCTGCTCTTGTTTGCTGCACATAACCGCTGTGGAAGCACGAGTTGCAGATCTTCCTTTTCTCTGGGGACTCCAGCTTCCCCCCACAGTCCAAAGATTGGTGGGGTAACTGATGTAAACTGGCTGTAAGTGTGAGTGTGGGTTGACTGTCTATCAGCTCTGTGATGGACTGGTGGCTGGGATAGGCTCGCTATACATGATGAAGCGGCTTGAATTTGAGTTTTGGAACTCCTCCTTTAATCGAACACCTCATTCAGCGGCATCGAATTCACATATTATAGTAAAATAACTGGCAGCACGTCGACCACGATGTCAGGAAAGACGGATTTTTTTCTCAACAATTCGTGTCAAGCATCAGTTATACCTCCCTGACAGTGCCGGCTGAGCAGCTCTGCATAACCTTTTTTTGTTTTCAAGCTAATGGCATCACTCAGTGGACTTAAACAGCTCCATTTCCAGGATGACTCACTTTCTACGTGACGAACGGGGAGAAATATTTCTGTGACCCCGTAATTGTTTGTTGTAAAGGGCTTAGAAATTAAAAAGGAAAATTTTTTTGTCCCCCTGCAAAGCAATTAAAGGACAGGTTGTATGATTCAATGGGGAGAGGTTGACATTCAGCACTCGGGGAACAAGTGGGTGGCTTCCACATCGGCTATATATATTTATATATATAACGGTAAGTGTAGCTGCGTAGCTACCGCTGATGAGACGTCCCTCGAGTGCGGTTTTATCCTTTGATTTCCTTTTTTTTTTTTCTATCACTGTTCACACGCCACAACACCCATCTGTCGGCCATTCCCACTACTTTGAGTTCTACCTGAACCTTCAGTTTTAGGTCCGCTGAGAGACCAGATGGCAGCGGCGACAGCGAGCCGTTACAGCACCAACATCGTCCGGCGGATTCGCGCGAGACGAAGCGGATTTTTTACCGCCACGTGTCTCCTAAAAGCTAACCCCCCTCGAGAAGTCAGAAACGTGAACCTGAAAATACTAGAAGCGATAATTAGCGTTCTTCATTTTAATATGTGACACGTGGTTCCACCGGGAAGGTTTTCATTTCCTGCGGTGCACCTTTCCAATGAACTCCGTCTCTGCGTTCTGCAGCTTGACTCGCTTCTATACGAGGAAACCGGAGCTGGAGCATCACCTGGACCAGACAGCTGTGTCCACATCCACGTTTCCAGACTTTCACGAGAGGCCCTTGTCATATTTTCAAGGGGTCTTTCATAAGTGACTATAAAAAATTAAAAATAAAAGCCTGAATTTTAATAGGAGAAGAAGAAAAAAAAGATGTCTTATCCTTTGCAGCCTTCAGGATCTTAACCATCTGCTGTGTGCTGTGTTTAATGGAGAATTCAGACAATCCTTCAGTTTCACCAAATATCAAAATCAGAAAAACTGTATTCACCCCTGGAGGGGAAGTCGCTTCGTAACAGCTGCTCAAGATTCTGGAAGTTCAGAACTTATCCAAGAATACAAGAAAGTGAGAAAAAAAAAACAGCTCAACATCTGAGCTGCAGACACATTTGTTGGCAGTAATGTGACCATTTGTAGTTGATGCAACCCCTACGTCTACTTCCCTGCCGCTCTAATTTATTTCTGTCTGGCCGAACCGTCTGAAATGGGCGATCTGGAGTATTTTCCTCAGTAAAATATAGTCAGAGAAATCCCCTTGTTTCCTCACAAGGGCCATTAACTCGCACATCTTACTGTCCAGACGTCTCAAATTGCCCGTGATGATAGAAGAGAGATACGGCTCGTATCGGCTCGTCTCCGTCAGTCCGCCTTATCTGAGCCCGGCTCCTGATTTCTGAGGGTCGGTCGCCATCAGTAAACAACGACTTGGTGCGTTTAACAAGTGTTTCTGGTGGACTAATGAATAAAGGACGAGCTATTTGTTTGTGCTGAGTGTGTTATTTGTCACCAGGTGGTTAAACTAAATGGACTGCTGGTGTTTACGTTTTGACTTTTCGGGTTGCTGAGGATCACCCAAATGCACCATTGGGTTTAGGAGGTTGGAGGAGAAAGGTGCAGCTTGAATGCCCCCAAAGTTCATCAGCACCTTGAGTAGAGCGCTTCATTTTCTGCAGATGAAAAACTTTACTTTTAAAAGGTGGCTAAAACCCTGATCAACCCATTTGCACCACTTTGCTTCCCTTTGTCTCGTGTTCGTTCAACAGCGGCGAGGTTCAGAAGTCGACGCGTGCATCGTCTGTAATTTGATATGTAGCTACAATAATTGAGATTTAGATTTCAATCAAAGGCATCGAAGCACGTATAATGAATTAGCCCGGGATCCCCGTGCAGTGTTATGCAAAGTTGTTATGGGACAGTTCCCAAACCTTGATGAGAAATACCTCCTAATTACTTCCCACTAGCTTTCTCTACTGCATTTGTAATTATTAAAAAACAGTAAAGCACAACACAACAATGGCGTCGTCTTTTGCTGAAACCACTTTAAAATGTTCCACAAGTTAATTGAAATTTAAAATTGTTCCAAATAAAAGAAAGTAAATATATCAGGATGTTTTTTCTTCCTTTGTCGGTGGAGAGGTTTTAAAGTAGTGAACAACAATAATCAAAGCTCCTGGTTCAGTGGGAAGTTGCTCGTGTTCAAAAGCTCTCGCAGATCAAGAGAATTAGATGAATTCTTCTTCACCAGATATCTTCCTTTTATATGTAACCTGTATTTTTTTCCCCCCACTAAGGGTAACAGAAATATTTTTGATGTGCTTGTGAAGCAGCAGAGAGCAAAGCATGATGTAACCTTGAAGAACATTATGCCCTGAAAGCTCGGGGTTCATCTGGGGGTTGCATTGAAATCCAATAAGCACAGCCGGTTTCACCGACTTTCAAAATAGCTGCACACGGTTTCTTTAGAAACATAATAGTTATCTACTTCACACACAAAAAACCCGACGTCTCACCGCAGCTCATTGTGGTTAAATGGCATTCCTGTGTACAGTTAACGCCTTATTAGCTGCTGGTGTCTGATCTGATCGTTCTTTGCGACGTTTGTGCGCCGCTTGACGGAAAACTCACACTTTGTTCAGTCATTGGCCAGTTAATAACTGGCAGGGGGGAAAAAAGGAGGTATCTAACGCTGCACAGCAAAGCATCACACAACAGAGAAGTGACGGCACACATGTATACAGGTAGGGTTAGCGTTAGCATCTAATGGTTTTTGCTGCTCAAATTCACATCTGGACTTTGATTCATAGATTCAAATTGTTGCTTGACAGGAAGCTTGAAACCTGCAGACTACCTGTTGCATTTATTTATGTCGACCGATGCAGTGACCTTATAGCAAAAATAATAATTCCACCCGACTGCTCGCTTCTGGACTGAGGTTAAAAATCATAGAACGGACAAAAAAAAAGATGGACAAACCCTCCAACAGGTTTACTAAACAGCGCTTTTATAGCTCAGTGTGTTGCCAGCACCTGAGTCCTCCGACCTTTCACCTAATTAAAAAAACAATTGCAAAGCGGAGTAGCCCCTTAACAACTTTAATACAATTTAAACGAGTGAGTTATATAAAAATTCACTCCCCTGTTGTCATGAACAAGGAAATGAGCAGAAGACACTAAAACAGACTGTAAGCACTTCTGCTGTAAAGTCGAGCATTTTAACAGGACGGTCTCGCATGTGGAGCCTCAAGTGGCCATTTGAGGAACTGCAGCTTTTTTTTTTTTTTTTTTTTAATCTTAATTTTACACGAGCTGGTGTCATGCGTGTGCTGCACCACGTCTGCTCTTGTTTACTGCACATAACCGCTGTGGAAGCACGAGTTGCAGATCTTCCTTTTCTCTGGGGACTCCAGCTTCCCCCCACAGTCCACAGATTGGTGGGGTAACTGATGTAAACTGGCTGTAAGTGTGAGTGTATGGGTTGACTGTCTATCAGCTCTGTGATGGACTGGTGGCTGGGATAGGCTCGCTATACATGATGAAGCGGCCATAAAACAAATGGATATAAATCCTTACAGCCACATTAGCTATTATAAATGTCTATATTGTGTCTGGTAACATCCAGTTGAAGTCAATGTACAAATGAAGATCATTTGCAAACATCTAGGAGGCTCTTGTTCCCGTGACCACTTGGATGCCCGACAGGACTGGATCATCCAAAGCGACCACAACTTCTGTTCATTTGTTGCAATAAGCTTTCCTCCACTTTGATTTTTTGTTTGCTATCCTTTTGTTTCACACGTTGTTTGCTGACCAGAACATGATTCGTCTTGTAGCTGTAAAACACTCTGTAGCGCCGTGAGAACCCGTGCGCTGCCCACAAGCTGTTGGATTGGAGCGACCAAATTTTCCCACGGCTGCGTTCGTTCACGCCTTCTGCGATTTGCAAACGAACAGATTTTTTTTGA